TACAACCGCTGGGCGCGGCCGGTGCCCAACACCTCCGACGTGGTCATCGTGAAGTTCGGGCTCTCCATCGCGCAGCTGATCGACGTGGTGCGTAGCCCACCTCGGAGCGGGGGACCCCAGTCCCGTGTGCTGTCTGTCTTTTCACCAGTTGGTCCTACTGGTCTGCCAGACCAGGGCCTGGGGACAACAGTGTGAGGTTGGGTGCGGGAACTGGCAACCTCTTGGCCATCTCCAGCGGGTGACAAATGACCCACTCTGTCTCCCTCGGACCTCCAAGGAGCAGGGGGGGTCTGCACCCCTCCTCTCCATCCCAAACGCTCCCTTCCCCTGGCAGCAGGAGACCATCAAGGAAAACTGCAGGTCTCCATCCCTCTCGTGTCCTTATCCACCATCTACCTGCCACAGGGCACCTCTGGGTTTGTCTGTCCATCCGTCCCTCGCTCATTCCTTCCATGAACACCCATCTGTCCACCCATCCACCTGTCTATCCATCTATCCACATATCTACCTATCCATCTGTCCACGTGTCCACCTATCAACCTACCCACCTACCCACCTATCCATCTATCCATCCTTCCATGTGTCCATCTATCCATCCTTCCATCCCCCTGTCCACAGGACTGTACATTTGTCCATCCATCAGAGCGGCTCAGCTGTACGCTGCAATTTCTTGTTGCTTGCTGCCATCTAGTGAGCAGATATTTCGGCGAAATACAGTGTCTCCTTGGACTTCTACTGGTACCAGTTGCTCCCAGAAGCCGAACCCCAGAGGTGGAGGGCAGAAAGTGAAAGCAGTAATTTTGGGGGCTGATGCATTGATGGGGCAAACCTTTGGGCTCTCTCTGCCTGTCTCCTCTCATCTCTCCCTCTTCCCCACCACAGGATGAGAAGAACCAAATGATGACCACGAATGTCTGGCTGAAGCAGGTAGGGTCCTGTTCCCTCTCTGGGGCAAGGACAGGAGCGTGCCAAGGAGGGCACAGCGTTTGGGGCAGAAAGTGCCTGCCCAGGGAGGCTTGGTGGCACCTCCATGGTGCTGTTCCTCAGAGGGATGCTGCCAGAGGAGGAGGAGGAAGGTGGCATTGGGCAGCTCGGTCCCACCAGACTGAGGGCCACCTGAAGCCCTCCCCTCTCTGTCTCCCTCCCGGAC